ACACTTTTTGTTATATTCCATGGAATGCTCTTAACATCCCGATAGCAATGAATATCTGAAGTGCTTTGACAACAAATCCATACAAAAATGTTCATCTGTGGAAGCCGTGGCGCTGTAAAAAACACGACCAATCATTTTAGCCGGCCCGGCTAAAATAACTGGATGGCCTACCTGCCTGTCAGCCTTCCATCTGTGCACAAACTTATCTCGTGCCCTCATTGGTCATGTGCGCGTTCGTGTGTTGGAGGAGGGGCTCTGTAAGGAAGTGGCAGATTTGTTCCGGCTGTGTATTTTCAAATTCTAGCGCACTCGAGCTGGTTTCTCCAAAATGACCTACCCCACCTTTAACTGCAACTTTAAATATTTTAAATGAGTGACCTTAAAAGTAATGTTTAAAATCCAATGTTGGGTTCTCAAATAAAAACAAAATGTGTGGTTGACAGGGCAGAAACTCATGCAAATAAAATCACGATAATAATTTTGTCTCATATGAAAGACTCACTTAATTTTCTTAATTTACAGTAATAAAGTTTATTCAAACATCATGCATTTGTATTTTATATAGTGGTTTTTGTATAAATATCTCATTTCTGTTTGTATAAGGAAATGCATTAAAACAATGTACACTTTAAGGACTGTCTTCGACAGGCTGCTATCTTTTCAAAATCGATGAAATGCTAACACCGTCATAAAAATTGTCCCAGTAAAAGTATGTGTTGAAAACAAGGATATATATACAGAAGACATATTCTGCACACAATCACATTAGACAAGATTTCGATGGACTGCTGTAACTTTTTTACACAAAAGAAGCCACCCGCTGTGAGCAGAATAAAACAATATTTTGAAATGCAGCAATGGAAAAAGAGCCAATAAATAGTAAAACACTGTAACTGTACCTCCAGTTTGGCACATGTGCATCATAGTCCCAATACTCTCTGTTCTTCTGTGTGTTGACATCGGTGTACACCCGAGCCTTGCTGCTGGCCGGCGTGGATCCGGGCATAGCTAGCTTCGCGGCTCCGTGTCGAGGACCTTTACCTCCCTCTGAATGCTTCGTGGCTCGATACTGGAAGGCAGCGCAGCGACTCTCCAGAATGTGTGGCTCTAAGAAGGTCTCTGTGCTTTGCTTACCATCGGCTTTGGCTGCTTGCGCCCTCTGAGGAAAGGCGTCAGGCCGGTGTGATGCAGCGGTGGTGCAGACTGACAGAGCTACGATGACCGAGTGTGTGAAGCCCCTGAGCAAGATGTTAGGCAGGATGGGATGAAGAGCCGCCAGCTGCAGGAACAAACAGGGAGGAGAGAGAGAATAACCTGAGGCATTAAGAACAATAGGTCAAAGTTGCCTTCTGATTTGGAAATAAAGCAAATAATATTTCTTGTATGTAGGGCTGCAACAATTTTTTCTATGTATTTATTGTTTTACATGGATGGTTTGGACTGTAATACAGTTGTGAAGTCACACAGAGCAAAAATATACTACCTATATCTGGCTGCTTTAAAAATGCTACTATTTATATTTTCTACCTTGAGATTGTACGTATTTGAGTACAACGCGGCGCCGCGTTTTTAATATATATATATATATATATATATAGCATCAAATTGCAACTGAAGTAATCTATCTATGGTCACTTTTCACATTGAACATGTGCTCTTTTATTAAATAAACTAAATACTTTCATTTTAAGTCATGAGTTTAGTGTTTACTAATGCATTAATCAATAACAATAATCCACAGCTCCTCACTCTGCTCCAGAGGATTTAAAAAATATATATACCCCCCCCCCCACGCAGCACCCCCCCAAAGCAGTAAACCTAGGGGAAACACAGAATGTTGTTCCCTTTGCTGTTACATTGTAAATGTACCTGCTTTGCGATGAATAAACGATTTCTGATCCTGATCATCTGTCACAAAAACCAGAGATTTAAAAATTAAAAAATAGGCACTGATTCAATTTTGATTATTGACAAATCGATCAACTCATCATTGCGGCTCCACAGTGTTATTGAGAGATTGGGAGATTGGGATTTGTTCAAATTAAAAAAGAAAGATGTCACTACCTTTTCTCAATGAAGACCACAGTAGAGTGAGTGTAGACCAAAAACGACCACCCTTTGACTTGTTAAACCTGGACTAGATTAACATGGAGACCCTACAGAGTGCTGCAAACCCAGAGCAGTATTTTTGGAACTGTCTGTCTTTTGCTTTTTTTCTGATCAGGCCAAAATCAGACAAGGTCAACCTGAAAAACCACTGCACCTAAACAAGAAGACCTTGTACACAGAACAAACATCCAGTTGGTGACACAATGTATTGTCAGGTTGTGCCACCCTCCAAGAACACAGCTTCCCCATGCTCACAGACTATTTTATCATAGTCCTCTTATAAGATAACAAAAATAAATGGTAATGTCACTGCTTTTTCACAACCAATACCATCTTAACTTGAAATCCAAAACACTGTACTGAAATGTGTTGAACCTGTACTTGATACACTTGGGGATTCTTAACTCTTTATGCACAGGTTCCAATTTAAGATAGTGACGCTTTTATTCTATTTTTTATTTAAGGAAAAAGACAAGGGCAATCTCCAACTAAAATATCTCTGAATTGACATAGCTCTCAACAAATGTATTTTGAGTTAGTCATACAAAGACAATGTTAACATTTAGAATCAAAAGAATCATAGGTGAATCATCTATTTTCTTTCCATTTGACTATCTTTGTGTATTCAGACCACAACCGACCAAATAACCCTCTTCTTACACATACATATGAACACCTAGTTTCAGAATGGGAGCGGTTTAATATCAGAAGGTAAACCCCCAACAATGCCAGATCATTCGTAAATCTGGATGGATTAAAACAGAACCGTTAGATTTGTGATTAATTCTATTTTTAAAAAGAGAAAATCTATCGTTTTTTCTCATCAAACCTGGACAGGGTTAACAATTATATTCAATAAAACGGTCTAAATCTCCTTTTCATATCGTCAATGCATTTACTCTATCCACATCACAACAACCCAGGGTTAGACAAAGTATTACTGCAACAGACAAACATAAATGCAATTCAGTTTAAAACCTAGGTTTAGGTTTGTCGAAGCTTTAAATACCTCAATGAAAAACAGAAAAGGTGTGATTTCACATCATTTTCTCGTTTGGATCACTTTAGACCAGGCCTAGCTTTATTGAAAACCAGGTATTTGAACTTGTAAAACCTAAACTAGATCAGCTTAGAGACCCTTTACTATAATGTATTATGGTAAACCCATGTCTTATCTAGTTGGCCCCTAACCCAGCCAACAGTTTAATGTAACTACCTTTAGTTAACGTTACATTAAACTGTGTGGACTCCGTCACGACACGGGCTCTCCGGGGCCTTTTTCACCGGCAAAACAGGTGAAATGTGCACTTAAATGAGAGATTACTTAACAAAAATAATGTTGGTTAGCGCCGAGTTATCCTAAAATGTAGACATATCTGTGAGGACTTACACCATTTGCGATATTTCATCCTACGCTAACTAGCTAGTTACGGTGACCTAGGCTAGCTTACTTAGCAAAACATAAAATCAAAAAATGTAAACCTTGAACGAGAAATACACTATCATACAAACTGTAATGGATTTTAAGGTCAAATAGACACGTATAAACTACAAACTACTCATTAGTGTCGACATTTGATAAAATGTGAGATCAATAACGGGGGCTAAAGTTAGCCGGCTAACCTCGTCGTAGAAATATCCGAGCTCACAGGAAGTCCGCCCGACATGAACGTTAGCTCGCTAGCACCTCGTTAGCCGTGCGTTGCTCTCCGTGCAGCTGGTGCAGCAGCTCCAGGTTTGACGACAGTGATAATATGTGTGTATATCAGCAGTTTCGGTGATATATTAATTTCCTCGGATGGGTGGTGGAGGTACATTTAGCAGCGGTTCGTTAGCAGAACCAGGATGCTCTTCCCTCTTGCGGTAAACATCACCCGGATGTGAATCAAAAGCTCAATGACCCGAAAATGCAACAAAAAAAGAAGCAATTAAACATACCTTGGAAATAATAATAATACCAAAAAAAGAGAAACGATTTTTTTGTAAGAATGTATTTAGATCAAGATGTATATTTAAAGATGTACTTTTTGAAAGAAAAAAAATATATAAATATAAGAGCTAACAACACAACACAAACAAGGTGTTAAAAATACTTTTAAAGAAGGACACATTAAAAAAACAGTATATATTTATTACATTTTAGATTAGGTGTTACTACTCATAATAGGATTAGTGAAACTGTACATAAATGCTAAGTAAATTATCTGATCTTTTAATTTCTTTACATTTAAAGGAATTCAATAATATATGTATATATATATATATATATATTCATTTGTCAATCAATAATATATTATTGATATATTAAATAATATATTATTGATTGACAAATGACCAGAGCATAAAACGTGATTATTGACATCTTGAAATGTTAAGTTTTGTAAGATCACATCTTTAACAAGAAGTTGTGATTAAATGTTTGATAGTGCCTCTAAAAGGTGTTTTTCTTATAAATAAAAAGAGGTGTCCATAAACAATCTAAGAGCTCGCTGATTATGAAATCAAATATTCTTTGTTGTTGTGATGACTGTTATCAACAGAAATTCAGCAAATGCTTCAATTGATCAGGATCTGAGCCATTGTCTGTACTCGCCAATACTTATTCTTAATATTTTATTACGATATCTACAATTAGCCTACATTCATTTATTCACCAAAGCAACAGCAATCTAAATGATGGATTAATATGTAACTATTTTGCTAATCAATCGAAGACATCATTTTACTATATTCTAAAAATGTTTTTGTCAGTAGATAGGGATTTTATGAGAAAATAATATTGCATATAAAGTGAAAATAATGTATACCTTATGATGAAAGTAGGCATCTCTAATTGAAATCATCATACTATACATGTTGTAGAATTGGCTGTGATGGAAAAAATGTACACCTTTTTTTTTTTAATAAGGGTGGTTTATTTGAATTGTCTGTATACAGTATGAACAGGAGTCTATATTGATATCCTTATGTGTAAATCCAACGCTTCATTAAACTCGTTCACCTCCCTCCAGGACTTCAACCACACAGTCCCATCCCACCCCTCCCCGCTGTATTTCCCTTTCCCCATGATTTGTAAACCTCAAAAACCTTCTATTAAATATACTGCAAAGCTTGTGAATATAAAAATCCACACAGTAAGCCAAAGTACACAAATGTTTTTACCTTATGCCCGACATAAACCAACACATGATTCGTAACTTTGAGGCTACTCGTATTTATCTGCTGAACGTCTGGGGCTAGGATCCCATGAGGATGTTCCAAGGCAAATTCTTAAAAAACTTAAAAAATAATATTACTTTTGTTAAATCTATCGCACAGTAACTAATGCAGCTAGTTTGTGGCAAGTGAGTTATATAATGCTTTAAAGTCTTGTCGGGTTAAATCTTCCGATAATCCATGTGGAATTGAAACTAAAATGTCTTGCAAGATATTGCAAGCTCATTCCTAGTGAATACAAAAGCAGGTAACATAAGCACTATACAGTTTTCAATGTTTACATAAGCTTATACACACATCTATAATATAACAGAGTAGACTATGCCATGAATCAGTAGTCATAAATATTACATTGTGCATATTCTATTGCACATGTCAAGTGTTTGTATGACATGAAAGGTATGGGTTAGTTACCTCGATGTCGCTTGTTTTAATACAAAGATGCAACAACACAGAGTTCATAGGACACGGGCTATACATTTTCACAAATCCACTTTTTTTCTTCTTCATAGGATGTTTTCCTAAATAAACCAAACCTATAATACAACAGTGATATTAAAGTGTGATAAATATTCATGCACAAACAGATGATACTACCTAAGATCTAATATGTGAAAAGATACTGCTGCACAAGCCAGCCGCTGTATACGGATGGAAGGGAATTATCGGCTAAAACTGGACGTGACGTTAAGAAAAAAAACACAGAATGAATCGGTACAAAAAGGCACATGGATCTCAGAGGAGCTTAGACAAGAGCACACACACATCTGACAACTGTCTGGAAGGTCTTTCCATCATTCTCAACAATAGAATTAACAGTTACAAAACAGACGATCACATGCAACCACAGAATAATGTCCCGCACAAAACAAAACCCAGATCTTACCATATTGTTACACCTTTTTCATTCGTTTTTTTCCCCATGTGTTCCAAAATAAGACGGTTATTGACGATGAATAAACAACAAAGAATGAGGATGAATTCAGTCATGACTCAACAAAAACATTACACTAATTAATGGTTCTTTGTTATACACTACAAATGGGGGAGCGGAGGCTGGCATAAGTTCCTTCGAGGGTGAATGTCACGTTTGCTCCCCAGGACAGAAGAGCAGTTCAGTTCATGGGATGCATTGTGCTTCAGGGAAACTCTCCCCCTCAGCAGTGTGCTGGACTGTGTGCTCCTGCAGTGCTGTGAGGTCAACAAAACGCTCCCCGCACCACACACACTTAAACTGTGTCTCCCGCGAGTGCACGCTCTGGTGCTTGGCCAGGTGCTCGCGTTGCTTGAAGCTCTTGTCACAGCTGGCGCATTTGAAAGGCTTCTCCCCTGTGTGAACTCGGCGGTGGCGCTGCAGCTCGGAAGAGTACCTGAAGCGTTTTTCACAGTCGGGACATTTCAGCGGCTTCTCGCGGGTCGGGTCGCAGCGGTGCTGAACAAACTCGGAGGAAGACACAAAGCGCTTGTCGCACAGGGAGCATTTCAGCGGCTTCTCTGTGCAGTGAGAGTTCTGGTGGCGCTGCAGCGTTGAATTCTTTTTGTAACCTTTGCCACACACCTCGCACTTGTAGGGCTTCTCGACCTCCCCGCCACATTTGTGCCTTAGTAGTTCTCCTGATTGGCTGAAAGACTTCTGGCAGGACGCACACTTGAACAGACTTTCCATGCCGTGAACCTGCTGGTGGTAAAGCAGGTGGGATGGCTGGAGGAACCCCTTGTCACAGAGGTTACACTTGAAGGGGCGATCAGCTGGATTTTTGTGTGTGCGTCGGTGGCGTACGAGAGCGTACTGCTGTTTGAAGCTCATCTGGCACTCCTCGCACTGGAAAGGTCGCTCCTCTGAGTGCGTGCGTTCATGCTGCCGCAGATCAGATGGGCGTTTGAAGCTCTTTCCACAAGAACCACAGCGGAAAGGTCTCTCCCCTTCCGGCTGGCACTGATGGTGCAGGAGCTCCGATGACTCCTTAAAGTGCATTTCACACAAATTACACTTGAAGAGGTGCTCGCCTGAATGAGCGTACATGTGCCGCACGAGATGAGAGCGGTGCTTAAAGCTCTTCTCGCACACGGCACATTTGTACGGCCGCTCGGAGCTGTGTGTCCGCTGGTGGTGCGCCAGATGTGAAGACTGGCTGAAACTTTTATCACAAGTGTCACATTTATATGGCTTTTCACCGGTGTGCACTCTCTCGTGGCGGGTTAGCTCTGACAAATGCCTGAAGGACTTATGGCACACTGAGCACTTGTATGGTCGGTCTGGTGCAGAGGCCTCAAAGGAAGGAGGAGACGAGGCACTGATTGCTGCACCGTCACTGGACGTCTCACCAGTGGAGGGCTGCTGGGGGTTGGCAGCTGACGAGGTTGGTGAGTTATTTCCAGAACCTGGCCGGTATGTTTTCTCACAGATGGAGCACTTCATTGGGTTGTTTCCATTGCCGTGCGAGTTGTGATGCTGGGCCAGCGAGGTGAGCAGAGAGAAGCCCATCTTGCACACACCGCAGACAAAAGGCTTCTGCTCCACCTGCACACACTGATGCTCCAGCAAGTCCGTAGCCTGGCTAAAGATCTTCATACACTGGGTACACTGGAAGGATCGGTCTTGGTTCACCATGCACTGGTGCTCATGAGGGTTGGCCAGGTGAGAGATGTCATGGCCACAGGCTCCACACTTGTGCCCTCTCTCGCCCCCTACCTGTAAGGAGGGCTGCTGGGCTTGAACAGTAAGCTGCTGGCCGTGCTGGGGTTGTTGCATGGAGGCATCTTGCTGCAGGACCACTCCATACACTGTGCAACCCAGAGAGTTTTCCGTTCCCGGGGGGAGTGTGTGCACAACCGAAGGTGGAGCCACTGCATGTTGCTGCTGCCACGCCTCCGTCATCCTTCAAATTCGCAGCTCTCAGGAGATGAAGGGTGTTTCAGTGCTGAACTGAAGAGGGTGGATGTGTTTTAATAAATGGTAGCAAGCACACTGAGAGGCTGAGTACTATATCTGCCCTTAAAAACGTCGTTTAAGGTGTTCATACCTAAAGGGGAAAAAAACATACAGACAAATTACGAAGTTGAATTTTCATTCAAAATTATTGCAATGAGTACATACAATCAGTTCTGTGCCTGAGTATGAAATACAGGGCTGATAAGCTGCCAGTTTACATTACAATGATATATTATACATAGATCATTCATAACGTGTGTTTACATTTCATCCAGAGGAGGTCCTCTAGCCAGTTTCACAATATTGTGAGTGGTTGATCAAGTCTTGTAGAATACAATTGAAACAAACCACCTAAGCTAGCTTGAGGGGCCTGCAACTTATCCTCCAGTTATTCAGGAAATATATCGTTATGTGATATGTACACATTTGTATCAGTAAGACAGACCGTATGGTGTCGTGTAGAGAGCTGACGCACTTTCTATAAACGGAAATAATAGAGAATAACGTTTAACCTGAATTGGGCTCGGTCTATTTCCTGAAATACCAATCAGGCACGCAATAGTCCCCTTTTTCAGTGTAATGTGTATTTAAAACGTTTGCTATGCAATACAAATGTCTTAATCATATCTATATTTATTATCTCGGGAATTGTTTTCTTTTTCTGCCGGTTTATTTAATGGTTTTGTTTCTGTTCCAGGATGTAGCTACCCGACGTTAGCCTGTCAGCTTCGGCAGCGACGCTAACAGCTAACCGCTAGCTCCAGCTAACTGGACTTCCTCCGAGATTATTATCCGGTATTTCACACATTAATAAACAAAACATTGCTCAGTATTATCGTCCCAATATCAGCATCACACAATAACAAAAGCACAAAAAGGAAAGGCGACAGAAGCGAAGAGGCTTGTGAGCTACCGTCGCTTCGATTGCCGCTTTCTGAAAGGCCACAATAACCGGTCGATACGAAGCTCCGCTGTAAACGGACCCCAAATCAGACTAGGCCTCCCCGGAGCTGCGGGGGGAAATTCACCTCCTCTAGAGGAGCCTCGCACATCTGCAAATAACAACATTTGCAATCTAAAATAAAAAACATACCTTACTGGACCCACTTATCGATGCTTTTCACTGCCGTCTCTAGCCTGAAGTCGACAACCTTCGGTATATTTCGGACTCGGAAGACCGGCGGTGGAGGGGATGCGGTTGAAGCCGGACGCCATCCTCCTGCAGACGGACGGACACCGGAAGCCGCCACGCAGTGAGCTGTCGCCGCGGATCTGCTGCTTCTACAGCCGCTCCATCCTGGAGGTACACTCAGGAGTCCCCAAAACAGCCCTGGGTGGAGATTTCCTGCTTTTTGAGTTAGCTTCAAGGGCATCCACACAAACACAATACGAGCCGAAAAGATTTTAGCAAATGTAATTCTACAATCTGACTGTAGGGGGGAGTGTTTCTCTTCTTCAAGCAACGTAAACACTGTAAAATCACAACTGTCGTCCTCTCCGATTTTCAGATACTTGTTCCATAACAATCACTTAAACAACTTTAACAGTAGTAAGTATAGCCTTAAATACATTGAATGCGTAATATCAGCCCTTATAGTAACATCAAGAGCTATTCTTCTCCTTACAAAATCTATGGTGTGTTTGCTGTGGTAGTCTACACACACCTTGTTGTAAAAGTTGAACTTTAATTATATTAACATGTAATGAAAAATTAAACTACCAAACAGTAGGCCTATTAAAAAAACACTTGCACCAGTAATCAGTCATAGTAATCCTAATTATGATAAAGTGTAAAGTAGCATTTTAAATAATGGTATTTCACTCACCAAAATATACCTGAATTATTATTTTAACACTGTTTAAGCGGATGAGTCTTCACAGCCAAAGTTGATGTAATTCTACTGCGAAAATTGTCTTTAAAGTATTGTACAGAACTAAGTTACTCAAGTACTGTACTTAAGTACAATTTTGAGATACTTGTACTTTACTTGAGTATTTCCATTTTATGCTACTTTGTATTTCTACTTCACTATAATTCCGAAGTAAGTGGTGTACCTTTACTCCACTACAATTATTTACTTTAGTTAATTTACAGATTTTGATGAATGATGTGAAATATAATCAAGTGTTAAATCAGACTTTAGTTCCACCTGGAGTAAATTCACAAGCTGCCCAGCAGTATACAAAGTCATTCAAACTAGCTGCACCTTTACCAGCTTTGAGAACACTTTAATGACCAATCATTATAAAACTCATATTATTCTGAAATGGACTAATCTGCAGAATGAGAACTTTTACTTTTGGTACTTAAAGTATATTGTGATGCAAATACTTGGGTACTTTTACTTGAATAAAAGTGCCTTATATGTTCATATGGCATTTTAAAAGGTCATCAAAGGAGATAGAAAAAAAAGTTTTGCTAATGCAATATAAATGAATTTAAATAGTTACGATTAGTAATGCTTGATTCATCAGAGATTTCATTTGTTTCAGCGCTCAAGTTAAACTCCCTGGCTATAGCTACACATACAGGTTTTAGTTTAGTTTATTTTTGACTTGATGTATCGTATTGTATGTATATAATTCTTGGTGTCTTTAATGTTGTTTCCAAATTCTACTACTTTTACTCAAGTACAAGATCGGAGTACTTCTCCCACCTCTGGTATTGTCCATATAAAACTGCAACTTGATATATCCCATTGCCATAACAATGGAAAAAAAGCATTTTTATTGTATTATTTTAAGTTGATTCAGTCATCTCAGTACAGGAGAGCACTCACAAAACCTCGTATTTCTTGTGCCATCATGCCATTATTTAAATATATTTTATTAAATCAATGAAACTACCCAACACGAAAGAAAAATGCTTCCATCAGCGACAGCGTTAAACTTTCTTCTGCGTACACATGAATGAATCAATGATAATAGCCTTAAATTATAATATAACATAATATTGTTCACAGGCCATAATGTGTTTGTTCTTGATTTTCAAACTTTCCGCTAACACTTAACATCATTTTAAATATTTGTTTTATTTTAAGGCTACTTGGGTTTAAAAAAGGTTTTCACACACCTCATATTATTGGAGTTCCAAGAGCTATTGCTCTTATTCAGCCGTTTGTTTTAGCCATGAAAGTCTTCACACACTGATGGTTAAATAGGCGCAGAAATCTTGCATTTTAGGTTTCAACTTAATTTGCAAATGAAGGTGGGCCGTTTTACTTTAGTTTGATGTAAATCAATAATTAAGCCTGAAATTGTGAGGGACTTTTACCCTAGTTCTACTCCACTTATTTTGAGAGGTACACTATTTACTTTTTGATTAATTCTTCAGCTTTAATAACCCAATCCTTTGCATTCAGATTAAAACCTTCCATACTGTTAAGCCCCAAGGTCCCCGCCGGCGGGTACTTTAGTTTTTTGTTTCACGACACTGTGTCTCAGGGGATCTTAATATTTAAGAACCTATTAATGTGTTATACCAGATTAATGGAAATAATCTCAGCTAATTGACGATACAAACTATTTTTACCAAAACAAAACACAAGTCACCCCTGAGCGAAAAATGCTAACCTATTACTGCACCGATAATCACTCCTAGCTTCCTTATTACTTATCCTAGGTGCACATCCAAGACATCGTTAATGATCACAAGGAGACACATAATCTAACGATGCTCACCTCAACACTGAAAGATACAAACTCGCGACGTTATCAACAAAAACGTACATCAAAACAAGTGGCGCTCGGTAGCCCACAACGCTAACATGGTTTACCTTGTCTTTGTCTGGTCTAAACTGGTCTTCAATGGCATTACAACGATAAAAACGATGGTGTAGTTAATCCATAGGTTAATCCAATGTGACTGTGTCCCCTTTGAAATGTTCTGATAATCCATAAGCAATAAAACAGTTTTTCCGTTGCTTGATATCAGAGCAGCGATATTTCTCCCCTATTTCTGACGCTACCCTTTTTTTAACATGAGTGTGTGCGGGACGATTTCCATTCGATTCTATTGGCTCTAACGGTCAGGAAGAGATGTCACATGTCAAAATCGAAGAAGGGGGGCCAGAGATAAGGAAAATCCACCCAAATGGCCCCAAAAGAGTTTTATTTTGCTAAATCTGTTTTAAAAGGTCAAATATCACTTGTTTTGCATCAATCTTGATACAGGGTACTTATTATATGTTGTACTTTGGATTCCTAAAGCTTTTAGTCTACTAACCCATCATCCAAGGTTAGTTTTCACAATAAGTACAAAATATTTTTTGGACAGACACTATAATTTACAGTTTTTTTACCATGTTCAATCTGAATTTTCTTTAAAATAAAAAACATCTATATTGATTCTGACTTTTCTACATCCAACTCACAGGTTTATCATTGCTTTGAGGAAAAAGATTATTAATTTAACCCTTTTAGAAGGGACACCTGAAAAACAGGCTTGGGGCCTAACAGGTTAAGAACATTTAGCTGATCTTATATATTTTTGATATACAACCGTCACATCAGTAATGCTTGTATGTTCATATAAAAAGGCATTGTAAAAGTTTATCGAGGGAGATAAAACATTTTTTTTTGATAATACAATATAGATTAATTGAAATAGTTACGATTAGTAATGCTTGATTCATCAGAGATTACATATGTTTCAGGGCTCAAGTTAAACTCCCTGGCTATAGCTACACATACAGGTTTTAGTTTATTTTGACTTGATGTATGGTATTGTATGTATATAATTCTTGGTGTCTTTAATGTTGTTTCCAAATTCAATAATCATAGCTTTTATTATAATATATATTACAATATATACATTAATGTACGAGTATTAATGTGAACAGATTTATTTCAGTTCAGTGGACTCATCACAACTATAATGCTTACATGTCTTTGGATATATTTCAGTAGCAGATGATACATGTAATAAATAGAGTGTTTGTCTAAGCCCATAGGGTTGACTTTACCATTCAATGTCATCACAGCAAACAATATGTTTCTCTTACTGCAGAAAACTAGCTGTCCAGATAGTTATTTAATATACTTACCTAGTGGGTACGCACCCATCTTTGTATAACCATGCAGCATAACATACATGTTGAACTATTCCTTTAAAAGGACATACTACAACAATAAAATGTGTGCTTTCCTTACCTGCAGTAACCTTGAATAACAGTGGTATTCATCACTAAATCTTCTGAATGTTGCCTTTAGAAATGTAATTTGTTATCATGGATAAAATCCTCTCTCACAGTGCATGTGATGTTTTATATTTATATATGATGCTATATATACACGTGTGACGAAGGTAACTTCGTCACTGTGGACTGACGGCTTCGGGCCTTGTAACATTGCACATGTGGTTTGGTTTGGGGGTGTTCCCCAAACCCGTTTTGTCTGTTGCTCCTGATTGTGTTCACCTGGTGCCCTGTGTTGTCTCCTCCCCCCTCACCTGTGTCTTGTTGGGTTAATTAGTGTGGGTATTTAGGCTCTGTGTTTCCTGTTTTGTTGAGAGGTGTGTGATATCCTTGTGGCTGGGGACTGTGCTCACGTGAACAGTAGGGCTGTGTCATATGTTTGTGAGTAATAAATGCCCACACCGGTTTGTATTTTGGACGTTCTGCCTCTGCCTCCTTGCTTGGTCGGGCCGCTCAACGGTCAGCTTCACAATACGCTTTCTGAGAAATCTATTGAAAAACAGTTTATATATAAAATAACCACATTGACTAGAATGTCGGTTTCACTTGTTATGATCTTTCCCACCTATATAAAACTGAAGCAATTTATTGAGCAGTTGAGAGAGCAGGAATAAACCACACCAAACTTGTTAATTTCAAACATTTCATTATTTTCTCCACATTAACTTCGAAACAACCTCATAAACCAAAGAGTAAGAAAGAGCATGCTCGGGCATGCAATGATGTCACAACATGATGATGCCACTGGGTGCGAAGTATAAAACATACAGTAGCAGAGAGTTTCTTTTTATATCATTCATAAACTCGGGACGTTTCGGTAATCCACTGAGAGTTTAAAAGCTAGCGTTTATTTTACACTGCTCTCCATGTCTCGTGTAGCCTTGTGTTGCTGGATTAAAAGAGACGAGAGGGAGAAACTCACAAACCGACACCAGATTGAGCAGGCTGAACAAACATGCTGAAAAAAATCTCATCCGGCCCAAAGAGTGTCTGGAAATGACACCGTAGAAACCCCATTTTCCCTTTTGAGTGGTCCGAAAAGGGGGACTGGGAGAGAGACAAAACAGTGCATGCCATTTCAGGGTGAAAGGGAAGTTTTGTGTTTGTGTGTGTGTGAGTGTGAGTGTGTGTTGGGAAGGAAAGGGGGTTTGGTGGGGGTCACCTTTTTTTAATGTCGAAGTTCTTCGTCTCCTCTTAGCCTGGGTGTTTAATTATC